GGAAAGCCACACACCATCCAATTTTGGTGCGCTGCGCGTGTTCAAGATGCCAGCTCACTTTCCCTCTCCGTCTTGACAACAAACTCCGTATAATACTGCGCTCGACATCTCCGCAATACTCTAGCTTCTGTTGTATTTTCTTGTGTTGGCAGCCCCACCTAATTTTGTAACAAGTTTGCTGAAGCTCGAAATTCTATTAATAAGGACATACTCATACTAGTGTTGGCCATTGCTCATTTGCTTAGTCGGTGTTTTTCAAGTACATTTGGCTACGACTAACCGCCCTAAATATCCGCCTCGACTACTAACGATATTCTATTTAGCAAAGGAGCACAATATGAATTGCGCTCCGTTCTGAAATACAGTATTGCATTACAGCGACGGACATAATGCAACTGCTATCAGCTAACTATCAGTCGAATCCCGAAACGAACAGAAAAGACAGTGCAGATCGTGAAGAACCAACCAATCAAAGCACAATACTACTCAATATTAACCAATCACAAGAACACCAACTCGTTAATTCCCAACCTCTCAGTCGGTAAAATGGAGGCAGCCACAACACCGAACGAGGAGGACGAAGTGCTTTTGCACGCAGAGCTAGCAGCCGTGGACACTCTGGTTGCCGCGATTAGCGGGAAGAAGCTCCGCAAGCGCTACAGCGTTAGGATGAAGCGAGAGGTACTGCAAGCCACAGATGACATGAGTGAGCGCGAGGCTGCTCGCCCGCAAGGTATCCCGCGGTGGACTATATGCGACTGGCGAAAGAAGAAAGAGGAGATCTTCGCCTACGAAGGGAGCGAGAAGACGCTCTCGAGAGCGCCGGGCCGGCCCGAGAGCGTGCTGTTTGGGATGGAGCTGATCACTTACGTGGAGGACACCAGGTGTGACTGTCTCCCGCTTACGGCACGCGCTATGACTGCTATTGTGCGCGATTGCTACTTCGTGTGGCTGCTACTGTACGTCAAAGACGAGAAAGATGCGAGCACTGCATACGAGTCTCTGTTTCGGCTGCTTCCGCGGTTCGTTTACCGCCACGGGATTGTGCAGCAAACAGCGGATATAAAGATGTTATTCAACTGTCACAATTGCTCTACAACTGTATTTTACGCCACTAAAACCGACTATGTGCTCTTTATGTATATTAGAAAAAAATCGCTGCCATCCAACTAGCGTTCGTTGTCAAGTTAAACGAGAGTTTTGGTTCATATCCAGCGAGTGCTACCTACAATAATGACGATACCGGTATATATTATGACACTCCATCGTCAAAACCCTGTCGCCAAAAGGCAAAGAAGCAAAGCTATCTGTTCAATAAAAGCACTCGACGAGAATGACGGCCATTTGCATCATATGCGGGGACGGTGTAAAATTACCGGCGATGTCGCGGAAATCCCGACACTGCAACCACTTGTACTACAAAAAGTACAAGTGTAACCCCGATAATGTCAGTGGAGATCTAAGCGGCAAGCCCAGACTCATCCCGGCATCGTTTCGTTTGATGACTAAACTTACGAAATGGCTAAATCTACAGCAGTACGCTTTGCTGATGCTGACAGCAACGCGAGAGATGCATTACGCGGGAGACTTCAGGACGATGGTGTATAGGGGGCAGACCTTTCCTTCTACGCATTGAGCGACATTGCGTTCTGTCCTGTCCTAGTCCGTCTGCATCGACTGCACAAGCCCGTACGAGTCATCGTCGACTTTAAGTGGGTAGACTGCCATCAGATGCCTGAAGCTAAGGATTGACGCTGGCATTCCCGTCCTGCATCGCAACTGCATGATGCATTAGAAGCTATTTGTTCTTATATACACGGACAATATGTTCGTCTCCACCGGTAGTGCAAATCTGACTACTGCGGCATGGGATCGCAACGATGAGCTTCTCGTTCAAACCATGGGCCCTCCAGGTCAGTAGAGTTTGTTGTGTTTGATTTGCTTAAGATTATAATCGTGCTGACGTAATTTATCTTTATCTTTAACGTACCGTATAACACGGATCCAATGCTACACTGGTAAAAAAAAAAAAGTTCATGTACAATATAAAATGCATAAATGGGCGTCCAGTTTTTACTCCTGTTAGAAGTCTCTTGCACGGCGCACCAACAATTTCAGTTGCGCGCCAAAATGCCTTTCATCCTCCCACTTTTATTCTGGCAATGACACGAAGATAAAAAACAAAAATAGAAGTAAGCTGGGTGGACTTCGCGCCCTTGAGGAGGCCTCCGTTGTCGCAGTAGCAGCTGATGCAAACGTGCACCGTACCACCATCTACTGGTGGAATCGACAGAAGGATGACATTGTCAGTGCTTCTCCCTACAAGTATTACGTCGCTACAGGCAATCGACAAAAGCTCTCCGTAAAACACCCGGACCTCGAGAAAAGATATTTGTTAAAAACTAATCTGTGGCTAACTAAATCTTCAAAATAATTATTGATGTACCTACAGGTTATTAACCTGGATAACAGACATGAGAAAGAACCGCTCGCTGTGTGTTCCCATGGAATGCCAGCTGCTGATGCACGCTCGGTTCAAGGGGGACCTCTTTGCAAGTCGATCGCGGCGTGCAAACATCGAGTATTTGCGGCGATTTCTCAAGCGTAATCGACTTCCTATTAGGCGAATAACGCACCAAGGGCGCAAACGAAGATCCGACATGGAGGTAGTGGGGTAAAAATGATTTCGATTTTATTATTGCTGATTAAACTTAATTAATATCGTTTTAGCTTGTTGCAGCAATATTTAAGGCACTCTATCCAGTACGACATTGAAGAGCGCGCGGGGGGGGGGGGGGGGCTTTCTTTTAAAAGAGGCGTCCAAGTATGAAGCCGTCTTCAATAAGAAGCAGACAGGTATTAACATTGACATGAACGGCAAGACAACAATCGACTTTGTTGGATCTCCGACAGTGGACGTACCTCAAGGCACTTTGAGTTTCTTGCAATTTGTATTTACTTTTGTTTTAACGGTTTGTTAATGTTTAAGTAGCGAAGTCGACGGATTTTGCTGCTCTGTGTTTTTGACTGCTTCGGAGACTCGATTGTACGATCAACATATCCGTGTGAACAATCGACAAGGCAAAACTACATGTCAGTGGCAATGTTATTGAATAAACGCAAAATAAGATTTTAAATTTTAAAGGCAAAATAAAATCATGTTTGATATTAAATAAAACTATTAATCACTATCCACTTCTAGAAATATGTTTAAACCGCTCTAGTTGTTTAAATCATCCCATCGGAACTTCACGAGAGCCTGGCAAAATCTGCCTGTATTGGTGTACAATAGTGCCAGGGATAGTCAAAAACTATTATCTCAAATATTCCGATTTAACAATAAAATATTTAAATATTTTATTTTCTCCTTTTATGCACATAAAATATTATTATTAGACTAGGATGCTTCGCTTAGGCTGGGAGGACTGTGGAAGTGGCGTAAAAGTGTTTCGTGTAACTACCTTATGTGGGTGCAAATACTGCTTCGCATATATTGTTCTGTTCTCAAGGATGCAAGTCATCTTAAACCAGAACTACTCTAGATTTTTATTTTCTCCGTTTTTTTTTTTTTGGGGG